AATTATTTCACGTAATTAATATTTTTTCATTTAAATATAATACCACAAAAGGTGTAGACGAAGGTTGAAATATGTTTAAAATTAATTTTAGTTTTCAGACGAAAACTTTATGTTAAATTATGTTCAAGAATTCATTCAATTCGTTCACTTGGGTGCTTCTCTAGCTTACATTAGCATGACGTCACTAACGAATTCGATTCGAGCTCTCGCTAGACGATACGATAGGCTTCGTGCTGCGACATTCCGTTTTCGTCACATGAAGTATCGACGTCTCGATACGTTAACGTTACGATTACGATAGTCATTCGTGCTAGGCACTCAGAGCACCATAGCCTCGGCCGGTATTGGGATACTTGGCATCGACATATTGAGCGAACTCCAGTTCCGCGGTCATTTAGAGGGTAAGGCCAAGTTAGTCTCGAAGAAGCTTGGTGTGCTCAATAGATCGAGGCATTATTTTACCCCGGGGCATCGCCTGCTACTTTACAAGGCGCAAGTTCGGCCCCATATGGAATACTGTTCTCATCTTTGGGCGGGGGCACCCCAGTACCAGCTTCTTCCTCTGGACGACGAGCTGTCCGAATCGTTGACTGCCCTGTTGTCTCGGACCGGCTGGACTGTTTAGCACTGCGTAATGATGTAGCCTCGCTATGTATTCTATATCGCCTTTATCACGGGGAGTGTTCTGAGGAATTGTTCGGTTTGATCCCCGCCATATCTTTTCGCTATCGTTCCACGCGAAAACATGTTCATCCCCATCACATAGATGATTGGCAGTCAACAACTGTGCGATTTTCGCATACTTTATGCCTATGAATGATCTTCCAGCGGCGGTATTCCCGAACCGATACGACCTTCAAACCTTCAAGAAACGAGCACACTCCTTCTTAAAAGGCCGGCAACGCACCTGTGACTCCTCTGGTGTTGCAGGTGTCCATGGGCGGCGCCGATCGCTTACCATCAGGTGATCCGTCTGCTCGTTTGCCTCCTATACCATAAAAAAAAAGTATTAAACACAATAATATGCTTCTTATATAACTTATTTAAGCTTCTAATTATACGCGCAATACAAGAAATTCTTCTATAGTTCGTTGACGCAAATATGAAAAGAAATAGGTCAATTATAGCGGATTCCCAAACACGCTGAGCAAAGGCCTCTTCCCACAAAAAGAAGGTTTGAGCACTAATCACCACGCTTCCCTAAGACGGATTGGCGATTTCATACTTATAATTAGGAATGAGGTACTAGCCTCTACTAGGTCACTCTGTGCTCCGCCCGCGTGGATGTCGTTTTATTTTAAATTTTCTCTACGTACAAACATTATCTGATTCTACGAATAATTCAATGCCAATATTAGCCAAATCGAAGACAGCCAAACGAAAAGTGGCATTGATTTATATAGATAAGTCCAGGCTTCTTCACGATGTCTTCCTTTACAGTTTGTCAGTGGTGTCTAAATAATAATAGGAAGTACATATAACTGGGAAAAAGTCACATTGGCACTTGCCAGGTTTCTAACCTGCACCCTCATGTGTTATATGTGAAACGGGCGCTTAACCTCCGGGCCTCTAGATGAATTTTGATAAAAGCTGGGGGGGGGGAGGGTAATCAACGTCTATTTTGAATTTATTAGTAGAAATATTTGTCTTATATAATAATGTCTTATATAAAAAGGCTCTGTGTGAAAAACATCACTATTTTATTATTATGATTACTTATATCTAATTAAGTATTCAAACTAGTTCTCGATACATTTCTATTTTATTTTTTAATGAACTGAATAAAATTTGATAAAAATGTTTAAAGTAGAAACAGGATATTTCCACATCGTCGATTGTCTATTAGACAAAATATTATTATTTTTAGTGTTTTTTATATAGGATTACCTACTCTCGCTCCTCTTTAGCTAGCTCGGCTGCTGCAGATCGTAGCGTGATGTATTATTTTATTTTTCTCGATAAATAGACTAACAACCACAAAAAGTATTGATCAATTCAAACCAATAGTTCCGAAGATTAGCGCATTCAAACAAACAACTCTACAGCTTCATAATACTATAGTATAGATGACAGCAAATGAGCAAACGGGTATCTTGGTTCTCAGGTAAAATATTAAGATAAAGAAAGAAAAAATTTTTTTTTTATTTCAGGCTAAAAAACAAGTGTCAAGATATTAAGATAACAGAATGCTATTATCTGAATATTTTAAGAAAATCGCCTAGTGTGATAAGACCGCTAATTGTAATCACAACACTCTTTCATAGTATCCAATGTATATTGTACTTTAGTGTATGTGTGCAATAATATAAATATGAATAAACATATACTGATATTTATTATTACAGAAATATTGTAAACGCTTTAATTAGATCTTACTATATTATAAGTCGTCATGACAACGAAATTTAGTGTCAAACATCTACCAAAATCCAAAATGAAATGCGGTCTAAGTTTATTATTTAGATTAAAATTTGCCTTGTCCTCTGAGAAATAAAAAAACAACATCCAGTGCTCCGGTTACGTATTATGCCTATGCACAGACATGGTTGAACTACATAATATTATGGGGAAATGGCAAAGACGCACAAACACTTTTCGTTCTCCAAAAATGAATAATTACTATAATAACAAATTGCAAGAATTCAAACTTCTAACTCGACCTTATAGTCATTCGTGGTAACAGCACGCATCGGGTCGAGATCGCAATGTTAAAGTCAAAGCAGGGAGTGAAGGGACATGAAATAAAAAAATCCTGACAAAGCAATAAATCACAATAATAGAGCTCAAGCTCCTATATCAAAAGAGATGAGCCAAAGGCGTGCCTCAGAAGGAGTTGGAATCAGCGAAGGAGGTTTAATACGTTTATAAAAATGTTCTTTGGTTATTTGTTATGTTTAATTAATTTCCCACAAATTATCTCAATGCCTTTACTTACACTATAAGCGAACTTTTGCCAACCAGACTGCGTAGTGTTTTTACCGCATTACATGTCAAGTGATCGCATTCTGACCGATGGTCATTTATTTATTTATTTATTAAGAAAATTTACATATACAACATTAGAGCTTACGCCATTAAGTTGTACTGTTAATTTTATATAAATTCTATTTAAAAACTAATTAGGATTAAATACATAAAAACAATACAAATTTAAAAAACAAAATAAAAGTACTTATTACAACTGAATAACAAGATTGGTAATCATAGTAATCTTAATATAAAAAAAAAAAAACATTATAATTTACCTACTCTTAGATATTGTGAGAGGATGATAGATCCATCCTCTCACAATATCTAAGACATTCACGACACAGCATTTCAAACAAATCACAATCTGGCGCTGACATCAGGAGAGAATTGAGCATGGTGAGAACTCGGACCAGCGGAGTTTTTGCATAGGCCACTGTACGTGGCCTCTGGTACAGCCAATAAGGGATGTTGACGCGGCCGAAGTTAGTGTGTGTCATTATTAAGTTATTCTAAGAAAACTATGCACAGAGCCAGTTTTCAAGTATGTTTTTAATAAAACAATAAGTACACTACCGAAATGTCAATACCACATTACGAAATGTGTAAATTTGTTAGAAATAATGAAGAACTCTACACTGCACTCGAAGACATACAGACTCACTACACAATTCGCCACAAAAATAGAATCATTCTACCAGGTTTTAAGCTAAAAATACACTCTACAAGCGCTTTAGTAATGGCAGCTAAAATATATTATAATAAATTACCCGATGACATTTAAAATAAACAAAAATGTAATATCTTTACAGACAAATTAAATAAAATACGCGTTATCTGTGAAATGTTATTATAATGTACAGGAATATTTAAATAAGAAATGAATGTTTTAGTTCACTTATTACAATTAGGTACATTAGGTCCTTATTGAAGTAACTTACATTATAAACTATTGGAACTGTAAGTACATTATTATAATATTAGTGGTCCCCAGACTAAGCTATTCCCTGTATATTAGGGACCTGAGTTGTGCTAAAATAAATTGTAAAAAGAACATTTTCGATAGTGTGACTGTGAACAAAAGATTTTTGGCAGGATTAAAATATAAAATATGTAATTGTAACAAAAATAATAAAAAATCATGTTTGCGTGTGTGAGAGTGTTCGTGCGTGCGTGTGTGTGTGCGCGTGTGGGCGTGTGTTTGAGTGCATGGATATATGTGGAAAGGCTGGGCCATGGATGAGGATTAAATGTTAAATGAAATAAATAAACAATAAAACTACCTGTGCTAAGTTCATATTGTTGAGAGCAATAAATATACGAGTATTAATCCTCCAAAAGTTAGGCCACATATTCGTATCACGGTGTTGCGGGTATCCTTTTTTTTAAATGTGACAAGCCTGCTGCATCGTCTCAAACCCGCTGCCACTCCTGTAAGCTAGGATCTACAGTAGATACAATTATTAAAACACCGGTCCGGCCACTTCAATCCCGCAACAAATTAAATCAGAAGATTTTATTTGAGGAGAAGAAAAAACGAAATAGTTTCCACTTCCCTTAGTAAATTTAATGCAGGAGACCGAATGACTTAAGTCTTAAAGGCACAGAGGAAATTGTACAACTGGAAGAAGCCCAGTCACCAAACACACCGGTAAATTTACTATTGTAATTGAAATGGGACCTATGTGTCCGCTGCTATAGTTTTCCAATAATAAGTAGGTCCCTACGTCAAAATCTCCTAAATGCGTGGAAATCTGTTCTACATCCCACAAGGTCCATATAATAAACTACACCTGGTGAGACCTTTAAAAACGTTCAGGGTGTCCATTGGCGTTCCCGATTGCTTACAATCAGGTAATCCGGTCTGGTCGTTTGCTGGTTTATCACAAAAAAAAAATCTTAGATTGAAACCTCATTACTGCTTTTTTTTGGTCAACAAGGTAAACGTTTATATTTCTTTGACAATAATTAAATTAGCTCGTTGGTGAATTGGTTTTATATTTATATGAGGTCGCTGCGAATCGAGGCACAGTAACAAGTTTGTAGAATACAAGATTGGAAGTCAGTATGGTGCGGCTCTCAGTTTTAATATCATTTTTGTTTCTGGTTGCCTGCGTCTGCGCATTTCCAGGTATTTATGTTTTTTATTCAGTCACGCTTCTTGAACTTCTGTCCCTTAATTTTTAAATTAGATTACTCCCACTACTCACTTGTGTTTTTATCTGTGCCGTGTGTGCATTTACAAATATGCGAATTCATATACACAAGCACAAGATGTTGTCAAACCTAAAACACGTTCGACTATGAAAAATGGTGATTTTATCGACAAATCAATGAATGAAAGATTGATATACAGTTGTAACTAGCTTTTGCCAGCGACTTTGTCCGCGTCACCCAGATGAAAAATAACCTATCTGTTGTTCCAGGCCTAACTTTTCTTAGTGCCAAATTCATTCAAGTCTATCATCATCAGTTTTTACGTGAACGAATAATCAACATCTATCCATGCTTACTAACTTTCGCGTTTAGTAGGATTTGACTGGAAAAGTCACCTAATTATGCAAAACTAATTTACTTGCTTCTGTCCGCGGCTTCGCCCGCGTGGTATGTTGATAAAAAGTAGCCTATGCTAGTATTCCAAAATGTATCCTATGCCTGCGCCAAATTTCATCCAGATCCGTCCACCCGTTTTGTCGTGATTAAGTAATAAACACCCAAACATCGTAACTTTCGCATTTATAATATTAGTAAGATTGAAGTGTGCCTAATATCACATAATGAGAATTTTTTTGTTTCCTCAGGTACTAAATTTGCGCTGATAAAAAATAGTGACTTCGGTGTCGGAACGGCTGTAGCTGGCAGTCAGTCTAATGGAGTCGTTAACACAAACTCAGGAGTAGAAGTCCCAGTAAATGCAGGTAATGATTACATTTTACTCCAAAAGTGAATGATAGCAAAAAGTCAATGGGTCGGCTTTACCGAAATGGTACTACGGCCTCACAGAAAACCGGCGTGAAACAACCACAGCGTTGTTTATCGCCGTGTGAGTGAGGTTTCTGGAGGCCCAGAAGACTAAAAGGCTGGAAACACACTCGTAACTCCTTTGGTGTTGCGGGTGTCCATGGGTGCCGCTGATTTGATCAAGTAATCCGTCTGCTCGTTTGCCGACCCTAAAAAATCCTTAAAGTTTTATGACTAATACAAAAACTTTTTCGGATAGGTTTACAGTAGGGTAATTATTCCTAGTAAATATTCCTGATTCGTAACAGGCATTGGGAAGTGGCATTCTATATAATCCGTCTCTGACCCAAATTTTATTCAAATCTTATCAGTAGTTTCTGCGTGACAATGCAACAAATAACAATACTTTCAGGTTTACAAATCGTAACATGCATAATTTAAGAAGGTTTTATATTTACGTAATACCTATCTATTTTAAATGAATCAAGTCAAGAGATTGTTAATATGCAATTATGAAGATGTTTAATTATAAAAGTTTTTTTTTAAAGTACATGGGATAATCGGAATATTGCAACCGGGAAAGTAGTTGCATACTCTTTGGACAGAGCTACATATTATGGCGCCACATATGATAGAGATTGGCATATTTGCCATAGTGCTATCAAGAAACAAGATAGTAATATAAATTATAATGGTATTGTTTTCAGGAGATGATACTGAAATTGCAGTAGTCGACAACGTGAACACCGGTGCAGCCTTCGCGTTTGCAGGAAGTTCTGCTACTGGAGTTCGCAACACCAACAACTACTTTTCACCTTATTAGTAAATTTCTAAAAGTTCGAAGTCTTAAAAATGGATCTTTTCGTGCATTCCTAATGTTGAAATGTTTGATAATCTAAAATATGTAAAAAATTTAGAAACCAGAATAAAATTCTTCTTTGTTTCCACTGTACCCAAAAACAACTATATGCCACAAAATGTTTTCAACTATTATTTAATTACTAAGTAGCTAAATAAAAGTGTCATTGAAAAATAAATTTGTAATTGTTACAAATAAAATTCTACGGATTGGATTTGTAAACATTACAAATCCAAATCCGTTTTTTTTACATATAGTACTTTTCACGAAAATCCCTTATGTTTAACTTGTATTTAATTATTTTGTAAAATTTCAGAGTGCCTTTAATAATCTCATTAAATTCAGTTATTTGATTATGGCTCAAGTTTTGAATAAAACATAATACATACTTCCAATTAATTTACAATTTAGAAAATAGGCCTGTGGATAGGCTCAATTTTTGCATTTCTATTATGATAAGTCTGGGAGAGCCATGCTTCGGTACGAATGGGTCGATTCGAGTTCGAGAGAGTGATTCCACGACTTCACAGAAAACCGGCATGAAGCAACCTAAATCCCAAAACCGTAATCTCCAAAAGGTCGGCGGCGCACTCGTAATTCCTCTGGTCTTGCGTCTCTGGGCGTCCATGGGCGGAGCTGATTGCTTACGACCAGGTAATTTATCTGCTCCTTTACCGTCCGATAACCATTTTTTTATATTATCATATAAGTTGTTTCACTCATGCCGTGAAACAACGCTGTTTTATTTCACGCCGTTTTCTGTGGGACTGTGATTTCATTTTGGTAGAGCTGAGAAGGAAAAAATCTAGCTTCTTCTTACTTCTGTCCTCTGCCTAAGACATTAAGACTAGCCTTAATCACGACCCTATCAGGAGGCAAATTGTTACTTAGTTTTATTCAAAAAGTCACTTACATGATCTAAGGTCCACGATGTTTGAAAGCTTTTTGTAAAACAAATAGGAGCAAGAAAAGCCACGACAGAAATTAGGATAATATTTTAATTAATAAATATAAAATATAAAAATAATGTAAAGGAGCCAAAAACAAACAAAAAGAAATTATCAGGTTCAACACCACACAGTAACAAAAAATTGGAAGGAAACATTAATTGTTCAAATACGAGTATAACAACAACGGGATATCTTGTGTTGTCTTATTCACTCACTATCACTTTTAGCTTACTGTCATCTCGCTCACACAAGACATTAGTATACGAGTACATGCGTGACTTTTGATAAGTCTCAATACTGACTAAATGTGCTGTTTTAATAAGGGAACACATAATCTTCATCATGTTCCAAAAAATACGAGACACCGAAAATAGAAGGAACTATCCAAAAAAACTAAAAATATAATCTAAGATACGTGGGAAAAATCTGTTTCTTGGTGCCGAATTCCTGACGGGCACATTGTTGTTTTGATAGTAAACATCATCGTAAGGATGGGTTGGCTTCCGTCCGGGATTCTGGAGTGGTACATTGTAATCTCTGGGAGGATTCTGACCAGTTTGTACACCATAATTATTGATATCGTTTTGACCGTGAACATAACCACCTTCAGTCTGTGTAGGCCTTGTGTTTCCATTGGGATAAAATTGTCCATTTCCTCTGTCTCCATTCTTCACACCATAATCAGCTCCTGGCCCTCCATCTCCATTTTCACTGTCATCTCCATGACCAATACTGAAACTGCCAGGTGGGTAGTAGCCGCCAGATATAACACCGATAGCAATGCTTGGGTCAGTTGGAGTACCTTTCAAGCGATAGACGGGATACTGCTGACCTGGAATTAATCAAATACTTTGTGAGGATATTTAATTGGTGAACATTTTAAATAGTAGTGGTAGTAGTGGATAGCATAAAGAATAGTTCCGGTTCCACGGAAACTAAATGATTTTGTCATGTACTGTGGACATGTTTACAAAATTCACATGCACATCATGCCTAAATCCGAAACAATATTTGAGGATCGAACAAAGAGTTGTTTCGGGAAGCATTCGGACCCTCGACACGTTACATAGCACCTAGTTGCCCAGTCACTAAGCCAATTGTGCATAATCGAAGTTTTTACTCATAGGGTACATAATGATGCTGATGAATTCAATATGGCAAAACTCAATCGCGATATCACGGTGTTCTTCCACCCCTTCGCTCACCCGATTCTGGTGCTCAAATATATAACAACTTTTTTCATAGCACCAAATCTCAAAAAAAAAAAACATTTTCTCCATGCCCAAATCAAAATGATCAAAATGATCAATCAGAAAGTGCGATTTGTATGGGAAAATAAATACATTTTAAAGATTTGGATATTGGTCCTATTAAAAAAGTTGTCGTAAATGAGCACTAAAATCGGCTCCTTCAATATATGTATGTATAATGTCGTTCATTTAACCTCACGCACTGTATAATTCCAAATCTAAACATTACCTTACTTTAATTGTTAACAATTGCTTAATTGTTTTAAAAACGGACCGTGACTCATAGGTTATCGTCCTGGGTAACATTCAGTTTCACAAGGTCAGCCATTTTGGTAATATATCCTAACATGTGTATTCAACTTTTTTGCAATTGGAAGCAAGCCAGCATACGGGATACCTGATGGTAAGTAAAGAACAGAACCGCCTAATACCATCAACACCAGGGGAGTCCGTTGCTGGCTTGCCAAGAAGTATATTCTTTTCTGGATGGTTTGAAGATTGTGTCTGGTTAGAAATATATTTCTAACCGCTATAACGGCTATAGCCGACGACAGTTAAACCTACAGATTTGCTATTAATGCAATAAGTTTCGCGAAAATTCACCACCAAATACTTGGTTACTGCTATTGAATTCCTTGGTTACTTTTCTCTTTACGAATTTACATATTTTAAGAACAAGCTCTTAGTGTCACTAAGGATAGACTAACAGATTATTATGTTTTGAGGTTGGAAACAAATCTACCAATGTGGAAATTTGACAAAGTTACTAAATACAGCTGAGAAAAAAAAACAAAATTATTAAGTACTAGCTTTTGCCCGCGACTTTGTTCACGTGGAAAAGTTACATCCTGCAGATTTTTGGAATAAAAACTATCCTATGTCCTTTCTCGAGTTCCAAACTATGTCTGTACCAAATTTCACAGAAATCGGTTCAGAAGTTTAGGCGTGAAGAAAAGACAGACAGACAGACAGACAGACAGACAGAAAGACAGACAGACAGACAGAGTTACTTTCGCATTTATAATATTAGTTAGGATAGTTAGGATTTCAATTCTGAAAGTTCCCATCCAATCTTATTTGTGTACTGTGCATATATGCACTGATTTGCCAGACGAAGCCGCAGGGAAAAGCTACACAAGAAATACAAAAACAGACAGACACAGAACCGGTTACAACTTCCATTTATGTGATATGTCACCTTCTTTTTCGCATAACAATGGCGAATACAAGCAACCGGTTTTTTAAAAGTGTTTATAAAATAAATCATTCGTAACTATTTAAGGAAAATGTACGACACTAAATATGCTGATGAGACCTTTAATTTCTTTATGCATTTTTTTATTTTATTTTGGAAACACCACTATTTAATTTGAAATAAACGAGACGATTAAAATGTCACCACTATAAGATGATAGGTCATTTGAAAACAATAAAATTATAAGTAGTTTTTTTTTCAAATTATAACATGTAGAATTATTATTTGGATTAAGTATAATAGTGAAACATTTAGAATTGTTTACCTGAGACGGTACAAAGATAGAAATATAATGCAAATCCGGCCACGGAACGCGACATGGCGAACATCACTGAGTGGGGCCGACGCTAAACACACGAACACTACGCAACGTTAACGTTTTGGACTGTATTTTATTAGGTATAGCCACTAAGCTAGGACCCGTTCACACTGGCCGCAAAGAGGTTTATTTTTTTATTATGTGTTTTAATGTTTATGTAATGTTAAGTAATTAGGCACATAAAGGACAACAGATTAACAAACATGTTTATGTGATACGCCGGAAAATGAGCTGGGGCCCAAGTCTACTATTTTCAAAGTGTTGTCAGTCTAACACGATTCCATTGTCATTTTGCTAAAAGTTCGTAATCTGTTAATTCAAAACGTAATAGTACGAGATGTCTTGTAACGAATTATAAACAATAACTGCACATTAATATTCTAAACGTAAATCATTGAATAAAGGAACTGACAATTGACCGCGTTATGTCAAATATTCATTTGTCATGTACGAGATTACCGTTCTAAAGAATTATTTCAATGAAGTGGCATTGGAAAGTCATAATGACGCTATCGTGTTAGTAGATTACCAAACTTGTCAAAATCAACAATTTTGAAACCAATGATCTACTATTCTGACACTATTGTAATAGCAGACTCAAGGCCCTGGTCCGATAGTAAGCCACTGGTGCCGCCCTTGGAATTCACAAACCCGAGAAGTTGCAAGTTTTGCCGGCGCTTTAGATAAGGAGGTTTGGGGATTTGGAGATAAGGAAGTTTGGGGAGGGGTAGGACGTAGGATTGAGCCTCCGGTAACCTCACTTACAAGGCAAAACACAACGATGTGGTTGTTCCAATGCGAGGCCTAAGACAGGACAAGTAATCTCAAATTAAATGGAAATGGAATGGAATTATGGAAAAGGCGGCAAACGAGTAGACTGATTACCTGATGGTTAGTGGTGTGAAGTTAGTGGTTAGTGATCAGCGCCGCTCATGGATACATACAAAACCAGAGGGCACACAGGACGTTTGCTGACCTTTTAAAAAGGAGCGAGTACGCACATTTCTTGAAGATTTGCAATTTGTATCGGTTTCAAAGTACCACCACAGGAAGATCATTCCTAAGTTATGCTCTGCTACGCAGAAAATTACGCGAAAATCAAAAAAGAATATGCCAATGAATTAGTACGAAGGATTCTTTAGAACATTTAAAGTAACACGGATGTGCAATGTCCACGGTTTTCCAAAAGGTATAAGTAATTATTTTTAAAGTGATGATCTTTGGGCTTCTACCATTATAACATCACGAATTTGTGACGTGGCCAAAGGCTTAGCGCAACTTTATTTTGGGTTCCAATGTAATGGAGAACTTAAGTGACTAATCTTGTCATTGCATCACGCTTTTAAGTCTAAGTTTATTAAAAGACATGTTTTATATGTGATAAGACGGCAAACAAGCAGACGAATTACCTGATGGTAAGCAATCGGCGCCACCCATTGACACCCGCAACAACGGAGGAGTTACGAGTACACTGCCATCTTTTTGGGGATTAGGGTTTTGGAGATTTGGGGGTGTTAGGGATTGGAGGAGCGTAAGGATGTTTCCTCCGGTAATCTCACTCACACGGAGAAACAACGCTCTGGTTGTTTTAGTCAGTAAAAGTCCAACACCATCCCCATCGAGGGAGAGCGAATGCACTTGATGGCTTTTTGACCTTCAAAACAAAACGTAATTTATATCCAAGCAGTACTATTTGTAAGTATTTAGCATTCTGGAAATATTAAAAAAAATCCTAATATCAATTTTGGTTAAGTATGTTCGAGTAAATTTTGTATTGATCCACAATAAGACGATCGAACAAATTTAATAACATCTCCTCGAGTTTACTAAAAATATTCGTTCACAAAAAATTCAATGGTATTATGGGCACCATTACATCTATCTATAAGTATACTTAACAAAAGTACAGTCATATCAAAAGCCGTTAAATAATTTTAATATTACATTCTCCTTATAGGTACGTGTTATAAACATGAATTATGAAATTTCGTAAGAATGGATTACTGGATGGATATTTGTTACTCTTTACTCGTAAAAACAAATGAAAATTGAAAACTCCAAAGGTGGATTATTACCATGTAGGCTACTTTTTATCCGAGTAACGTGTGCAAAGGCGCTGGCAGAGGGTAGCAGCTATTAAAAATGCTAGGCACTAAATCTCAGAGAATAGTAGGTACTCCACAAAACAAGTTTTAATCGTGACAAGAATGAACTTTTTTGGGCGTGTCCATTTCGGCTATTAACACAATCAGCAGAATCTGGCGATAAATCAGTCAGCTATCATCCTGCAGAATCTACAACGGGGTGGGAATCACCACATAGCTTGAAAGTCAAGGATGAGGTCACCATGGCGTTGAACACTTAATTAAAAGGACCTAAAGTACAACGGAGGTGAAAGGCAATTGAATAATTATTGCATATACTATCAAAGGCTATTTTACTAAAGTACGCCAACATAGTTGAGTCCTTAGATAAAAATGGTATAGCTAAAAAGAGCAAACCAGCATTGGTTAAAGAGCTTTCATAGGTTCCTGTAAAATTCCATTCTTCGATATGAATGTACTGTCGCGTTCGGATTGATGACACGGAAGAAAATAGACTTAAAACCATACTTTTGTAGAGTAGGGTTATTGGTCTTGTCCCGTGCCAAAAAAGAAATGGTTTAGTATCTACATCTGAATAAGTAATCTAAGTATTATTTTTACAAATATAGTTAAAATAGTACATCCAATGGAAACTGACTTAACTTATAAACTACAAACACCCACAACGAAAGCGGTTACGGCATTGGCAAAGAAAGTAAGTGTCATAATGTACAGAACACCAACTAGCTGAGGTGTGAAGAAAAAACCTGCACTTCTTTTTTTCGTAGAGGGAAATCATCATATAAATTGTACCCGCTGTCGCTCAGAGTATGGCGAGAGGGGTTAAAATATATTTTATTGATTTTAAAAAGTGTTAACTTTTTTATGTTGTCGACAGTACTAACAATTTTTTGTTCGTTCAAATTTGTCGATTAACAAATTTAAAAAATGTTCGATAATAGCTATTGTTGTTTTGTTTTTCGCCACGTCGCCTCCCATGGTCCGCCATTAAATGGTAATTTTGCAGGAGTATTATTATGTTTTGTGCTATAGAGATCTCCAAGATTACTTCACAGTCTTGCTACTAGGAATAACCTACTACACAGTTGCTGCTGAGCTGAAAAGAAAATATGGATGGATTGTGTAAGAAGTGATATGGAAGACAGAGGAGTTAGCGATAGCGTGACGGGTGACAGGACGTCACCCGTCACGCTCACGTTTCTGGAAGAAAAAAACACATTGCGCCGGGCCCAAACAAAACGGGACAAGGGCAGGAAGATGATGAGTTGCTGCTGAGCTGAGCATCTGATGGGAGCGCCATTTTTTATCAAGAACGGATTGACGCGGTCGGAGGGATTCCAAAGCTCACTAAAAACCAGCGTGAAGCAGAGTTTGTTTTGTGCAATCTTACCAAAAGGAATCATGATATTTATTCATTTTTGAACCTCGAAGTGATATCCACACTACGCACTTTTTTTTTATAACAACACTCTCCTTGTATCTTTATTTAATTATTTTCCCTAGTTGGTTGGCAAAGTTGCGTTCAGTAGCACGTAGAGAACCGAAAACTGGCGTCAAGGAATCACAGCGTTATATTTCGCCGTGTAAATGAGGTTACCGGAGGCCCAATCTTTTCGTCCCCCATCCCTACGAAACTCTAATTCCCAAAAGGAAAATCGTAATTCCTCTGATGTTGCCCACCCGTCCATGGACGGCGCTGATTGTTTACCATCAGGTAATCAGTCTGCTCGTTTGCCGAACTATCCCTTAACAATAACCACATAAACTGTCTAACAACCACTTATCACTGGTTATTTTATGAGTCTCATGTAATAGGGAATGAGGGATGAGCTGGATCTTCATTCACCATATGTAGATGGGAATTTAGTTCATATGGTGTTGCCGCTCTATATCATTTTGCAACTCGTGTTGGACTTAAAAGAAAGATAAGAGACACGCAAACATAAATATGTAATAATAAATAAATAAAATATATGAAATTAACTAAATAAATACTAGAAATGTAATGTTGATATCCACCAAAAAACCCATTTATAATTGTGTTTTGAACCGGTAAAACCCAGACTGAAGCTACGTAAGCGTAACCCTTGTTCACGCAGATGTGAAGCGTAATGCGGCGCGTCGGGCAGTGCATCGTCCATTGCGGCATTAGGCAGCGTCTTTAGTCATGCAAATATTAACGTACCAAGCAATCTACAACGGACGGTCCGCCGAAACGCGCGACGCTTCGCGTTTCTGCTAAAGAGGCTTAAGCGTAAGTGGTAGTATAAGCTTATAAAAGCTGATTCGTGCATGTTTTATGTGTAGTTAAGTGTGTGTGTGTGTAGTGCGATGGAGTGTATCACAGCTCTCTGTTTAGTTTTAACCTTTGTTTCCATTTGCCAAACGGTCCCACGTAAGTTCACTTGCATTTTATGTATAGTTCAACCGACAAGATTATTTTTGTTTTGCCAAAACGAGTTTCCTTAATGCGTTACATTTATAAATTGAATTGTGTATTCTTTCAGACTCCTTAGAATAGTGGATTGTAACTATAAAACATGATACTTTGCAAACTTAAGTGTATAGTGCATCATTTTTTTGTCAGAATGTGTTATTAGGAGGACTATGTATAGTGAAAAATCAATGTTAAATACTATGATACTATCCAAGAAAGAACTTCAAAAGTAGTTGAACTATTTCTCGATTACCAACTCCAGTGATCGAACCATCTCCAAAATTTTGATCAGATCCATTAGCAGTATTTATACTCGTAGAAGCCTATAAATAGACAACAGTTATAGTTTTAAAATTACAATAATGAAGCAAGTTTTATTTTTATAATTGTATTTCTCATTTCAGAAGAAAAAGTGACTGTGACGGCTGTACATGGGAGACTTGGACAAATAACTGGCGGCAAATTTGGACCTGGAAGCTTCAGTATAGGTGCACCTGGTCAAAAGATTACATCGAAATTTGAAACTGAAGATGGAGAACCTGTGGCTATTATAAAAACAAAACCGCATCGGAAACAAAATCCACCACAACAAGATGATCTTCCAAATATTTCAAACCTGGAAGGTAATTATAATGTTCTGTCCGTTACCTAACCAAATAGTTATTCCAATATTAATAGGGGTCCCGGCTTTAGCTAAGCAGGTGGCGTTTTTATAGCAAGAGATAATGTTGACCAATCACTTCAGTTGTCATAAATTTTCACGTCCAATAGCAAAATGGAAGACGAAAAGACGATAGGTTAGCATAAAAACTCACATTACATTAATAGTCATTACCTCACTTTAATCTTTCATTAGAGGTCAAAAGACCATTTAACGAAAATATGAATAGAAATTTCAAAACATAGACATGTCTAAAACTTCAAATTATATACGTTACTGAAAATATTTTTTAAACTATTTTTCTAATTTGTAGATGGCGCAGAAATTGATTCAAGTAAACTTCAAAAGATACACGAAGAGTCAGGACATAGAGGTAAAGGAGGTGAAGGTGGCAAGGGAGGTGGTCAAATAACAATAGGTAAAGTTGTTATTGCCAAAAACAATGATAAACAAGAGAAAAGAAGGGAAAATAATAATCAAGAATCTGTTACTCTATTAGAAGCAGTATCCTCTTTTGATGGGCCAATAAACACATCTAAAGGTAAACCAATAAGTGTTGGAACTAAAACTGTACAGAATCCTAAAGATCACGCTGGAGCAGGAGCAACGAGTTTAAAAAATCAAAATATAAGACCAGAAAAGGTTATTCCCGAGAAAACTTTACGTGGGTCACTTGTCAATGATAATGGAAATGTCTACACTGGAGGTCCTAATGAGCGTTGGGTGTGGCAATAGACTCGGGACATATCAAGTTGAGTCCTTAGAAACTCCATAGCCCGGAAGCTATTCTTAATCCGAGTTGATGTACCTAGTTTATGATGTAGTATAAGAAATACGATATTCAAAATAAAATATAGCGTATACAGTATTATGTTTTTTAAATAATTGTTGTCTATGTGTTAAATTAAATTTAAATACACTTAATAAAAGTTTATTTATTATTTTTTAGTTTATTAGTTAGTTTATTTATTTTTTTTGAAATTTGCATTGTGTATGTTTTGTATATATCTAACATTTGTAAACCTGATAAGAGCTTTCTCTATAAATTAAATTGTTAATTATTGTTGTGAGTGATTGAAAGTGCCGTGTACCCAGACCTTTTGTCTCGGGTATGATACATTTTTTCTCTCTTCTCTTTCTTTTACCTTTTTCTCTCGCCCTAGATGATACGAGCGAGAGTGTGTCTCTTCCTGACTAAAACCGCTCCGTTCCTTCTCCTTCAAGGTCGGGGCCACGCTACCTAATAGCATTTTTTTTTTATTTTATTTTTTAAAAAAAAAACGTTGCCCCACACTAGGATTTTCTCCTGTGTCGTGGGTACGTTTACTAACATACAATTTCACATGCACATCACACCCAGACCTGCATTTGCACCGGTAAAACCCAATTCACGCTCAGTTAGCCGAAAAATAAAACATAAAACAATTATTTGTACTTTATTAAATATTTCTTCGTCTTATTGTACACAGGTGAATAGCATACATATAAATAACAAGTCACCTATCATGATAATAAAATAAAACAACAACCACGTAAAAATATTTTTATAACAATTAAAATATTTATTGATCTTGTGTGCACATTCAAAATTCTCATGAACAAGATAATTTTGTGCACCATCGGTCGAATATACAACTATAGCTTACTAGACATATAAAAAGAAATACTATTTTTGTACTCGTTTTATTTTTACTACACTACATCTTTACTTCTTTCCGTAATTGTTATGGCCCTTGTCTCCTCCAGATCCGCCATACGAGGTGGTGCCATGGTTGCCAGCATGTCCGCCATCACCGTCCCCATAGCTGTCTCCTCCATGCCCGATACTGAAACTACCAGCATCGAATGTACCTCCGCTTATGCCAAGAATTCCAATACTTCCATCGTCAGCTCTTACTCCATAATCATCATCATATTCTTCTTCATTTTCTGAAAGTAAACAATAGTAATTGTTAGCAAGTAAGTTCATGAACCAACACCTTCTTATATGTGTATAATATCCTTTGTTTTGTTTGGGATTTTTTTCAAATGACTTGTACTGTATGGCATATATTTTTTGGCACACATTGGCATTTGTAAGTAACTTTTGATCTTAAAAAAATTGCATTTCGTTTATGTGTGAAACAAGTTTCCATACAACAGAATATGTTATAATATGTACCTATAGAAAACAGTATTTGAAAATTATTTATGGCTTTGCTCAAGCATGGAATTAAGAGATCCTCCCCCGATATATAGAACCCCGTAGAACCATGTTGTGGAAATACCGGAACAAAAAATTCATTTTTCGACTCGGTCAAAAATCATGTTTACCCATTCAAATCACTTTAGTAGTTTCGGAAATTTATACAAATAACTAATAAAGCTTTCCTTTTCATTTAAATTGTAATAGTATAAATTAAAATACAACCTAATAAAAGGTTAATTTAATGCTAAACCTAAAGTTATATAATAGCATCTATCTAGCCAGTCCTAGACTGTTGTTGGCTGACTCCACCAATAATCACCAGAAATGCGGCATATCAGCTCACCTAAAGTTTACGAAAAAAAAAAATATTTACCTTCCTGCTGCGGCTTAGTCGGTGCTGCCAATGTGGATAGGAACAACGCAAACACTAACAGTACAACGACAGGGCGTGCCATCTTGCGTGAAGACTATGCAATACTAATGAAAACACAACACGAAACTTTATTATATGTATAACTGAATTCATTTTATAACAGAAACTTGTTTCCAAATAATAGCTAATAATAACAATATAATAAGATCAATGTAGCTTACTAGAAACATGGTGATATTTTCATTAAAGTATTGATAAACGAGGAAAAATACAATTTTAATGTTCATATTAATTTCGAAGATCGCAAATAAGGTATTTAAGAGAGCCAAATCTTGGCTCTCTCACACTTTAATGGAACGGTCAAGGCCTTGCATAAATAAAAAAATATATAAATATCAAAGACAGAAGCAAAAAAAGTGGGTGTCAAATGAACTGACGGAATAATACCTGATGGTAAGCAATCTGCGCTGCCCATTCAACACCAAAGCAGTTGCAAGTGCGTTTTCAGCTTTTTGGAACTTAGAAGTTTTTGGGTTTTAAGAACTGGGGGGCAAGGGGAGGATGCTCCGAGAACCTCACTAACACGGCAAAACATATTGTGTGTAAAATAAATAAGGTCTAAAATTCTTAGGGCCTGCTCAACAATGTCTGGATAGCCCCTGTTTATATTATATATTTTTTTTACTAGCCTGTTGTGTCCCATTGCTTGGTCCACCAGTATCGACGATAGGCGTCTAGATCGTCACGCCATCTTTTCTGGGGCCAACCCCGTCTGCAGCCTCCATCCTGAGGTGTCCACTGGGTGACAATAGTGGCCCATCTCTCCGGATGCATTCGGCTGACGTGTCCGGCCCAGTCCCATTTTAATTTTGCCGCTTTTTGGCCTAATATAATATAGCATTTGAATATAGTACGGAATTTATATTATCCTCCAAATAAACTATCAGGTTTCTATGATGGGACAAAATTATCAAATGACTCCTGCAAGAGCAGAAAACGACTCTTACTGCTTGAAAAATTGCCCTGTTCCATCTCCTGGTCGAAGCCAGACGGCGATATATGATTTTGCTTGATCTGCAACCCAGTACGCATGTAATGGTGGTGGTGTAACAGACCCTTTAAAATCTTTCTTGTTGTCTCAGAATACAGAACAAACCAGAATCCGCGTTCACTCATTATTGCATGTTGTCTAATGTGTCCAAAAACAATACGTCAATCCCCCCGCCAGCCGCACTTCCCACCCGCGTAGTGTTGACGACAGGGAACAATTCCCTTGGTTTGGGGTAATTTTACTAAAGGGGGGTAAGATATATTTTTTGGGAAAACCCAAAAAAAATATAGGAAAACTTACGATAATTGCAACAGACTAGTTGTTTACACATTTCATGCAGGTATCATAAAAGTTGACGGTTTCTGGCTGTGTTAATTTTAATTACACCGACTATACACAACGTGTATAGTAAATGTGTTTTTTATCCATTTTATAACTAATATGACAAAGGTTCCACAATGGACAACAATGTAACTCACAACAAATAAATAAGTGGGTAAAATTTACACCAAAAATGACAACACTCACAAAATGGCCGCATCATTGTCATAGAAAAATAAATCGGTAAAAGAAAATCAATAATTAATTAAATATACTATTGCAGTCGATGCTTACAGATGAAATGTAATCTTATCCACTTTTTTCGTAATTCCAGCTCCATTTTTACTCGTAGGAATAACACAAGACTGCATAATAAAGTTAAAATTGATACTCGTAACTACGTCACGACATGCCACGTGCCAAAATTGACTGATCGTAGAAATTTCATACTACTCTAGCTGAGAGTGGTTTTAGTGGCTTTAATATGAAGCGCGTTGACGCCTTCTGGTTTGTTCTGTATTCTGAGCTTGTTGTAAATAAATCCACTTCCCGTAACTTTCTAAATTGTTGTATATCACCTACCACACATCTCTGCACTACCAAAAGATTGACTGAATGCAGAAAATGCTTCTAGCATTAAGTCCTCCAATATGCAATTGTATATAAAGAATAAATAAATAAAACATAAAAACACGGGCACGTGACCATCGAAAACATCAAGATTCCAAACCTGCTTGAAATTTATTCTATGAATTTCATACCAACAGCATTTGAAACCTGCTTATAAATGTAAGTTTTTCAAAACAACATCTCAGCCATTAATTAAATAAATCTTAGACATTATTCTAATTGCTATCCGATCATTATAAATTAGTGCTTATATGGAAACTAGAACACGATAAAAGCATATATGTAAGTCTGTGTTTACCAAAAACCTGTACCTAAAGTAAATGTAGCCAGATTCCCATTCAGATATCACGCTGTGACTTTAATGTTATTACAATTTTTTCCTTTATCGATTGCGGAGATGTGGACCGGTTCACATTTGAACAACATGACATTCGCAATAATTTTCTAAATTAAAATATTAGTGTCGGTTTTTTTATATATGATGCTGTATAAAAATAAAGTTTAAGGATATAAAAGCTTTACACGTTAATCCCAAGTCAGTGTCCAAAACAATACTGCAGAGAGAAACATGGGGCGTTTTGTGAGATTAATATTAATTCTGGCTGTGGTCTCCTGTGTTATTGCAGCACCAGGTAATACATGCATTTACATTATTTACTTCTTATTAATTAGTTACTTTGTGCTTTACTTCTATACTTAGGTACCTATAACAGTCGTATATATCAAATCATAATATTTTGTAAGTTAAAACGGAACGGAACGAAAACAAAAACTTTTTTTGTTTGAATTGTGTTTTTTTAAAATTATAATTGACTTTTGAAAAAACCACTTCGTTCTTTATCCTGCCCAGGCTGGGGCCGGCTAAAAATCGATAAGCGTTTGTCTAACTGTGTTGCAGTATTTCTATTGTTTTTCATAAGGCACTGTTCTACACAACTCATACAGACTCCATTATAACGGCCTCTACAATATGTAAGAGATCGCGTTGTACGATAAGACATTTCGTTCTTTTTGTGTTCCTTTGTAATAAATAAAATAAAAATTAACAACCTCTTTTTTCAATAGGTAAAAAAGTAATATAGGTAATGTCAAGAAAATTGGTTACAATTTTTATACTTGTATATTTATTTCACAGTTAATGAGTGCATATCGTTACAGTAAACTTAGAATTGTTTCCATTTGTATACCACAAACGCACTCTTCTTAACATGAGGGCGTTTTAATCATAGCGAGTGCCAAGGTGACAGTTTTCTGGTAAATTGATTTTTTAAGTTTATTTAAAAATTACTGAAAAAGAGTGAACGACAACATCGCGCAGAAACTTGTACTGATAATTTCTAATAAAAAGTTGGAAATCTCTTGTGTATACGCATATTGTGAGTACGCATATATGAGCGCCATGTTCGAGTCGACAAAGGAGTAAAATTTTGTGATATGTCATTTGTTCTTTTTTTAATAACTTGTCTCTGCATTGTTCTCACATAAAGGTACAATAATGTATACTATAAATGTTATATTATTGAAATTGTAAAACATTTTTTTTAAAGAGTAACCAATGCAATTTTTGCTCGTTCTTCTCCATTCGAATCTACAATTTGGAATGAGCTCATAGCTTCGCTGACGAACAGGCTGACAGTCTACTTTTCTATTTTGACGTTTCAAAAGTACCTATTTATGGTTTAGTTGGAATAAATGATTTTGACTTTGACTTTGACTTCACCAAGGAACCCTTTTCCGTGTGAGATGCTCAGCAATTGCCGTCGGCAAACCTTAAGGCTGATGCTGACGATAATAGTTTACAAAATAACTTTTATTATCTTTCAGAACGTAAGCGCAAACTACACAAACCAAGAATATCTGCGTCACAAGGTAGTTTAGCGTTAGGGCGCTTATCCGGAGGCAGTTTTGGATCCGGGTCCTTCAGCATTGGTCACGGAGGTACCAGCAGAGGGAAGGGAGATGGAGGTCATGGTGGTAATCATGGAACCAGGACGTATGGAGGCACAGGTGGAGACCAGGGCCACAACAGTTATGCCTGAGTTGATTACCAGTCTAAGTTTTTAATTGTAGTATATTGTGTTTTATTGTAAGTAGTTCTTTACTTCAAAGTTTTGCGTCCTCTAGCACCCCTAGTGTCGCAAAATACCCTGTTGAACCCTCATTACTGATAGACAAAATGTGACTTTATTATAGCCTATGTATTAGAACATTTTAAATAAATAATATTTCCTTTTGCTGTTTCTTTTCTCTCTTGAGTCTCCTGAGTTTAATACTCAAATACTCGAAATTCAATTCAATGAGGATTCTAAAATGAGGCTGCGAAATACTAAGCGCCTGTGGTAAAACGAACAGAATTTACCTAAAAGTAGATACTCAAAACTAAAATGCAGGCGTTATTATGAAACAAGCAGTATGATTTAAAAGAAAAAAAATATTGATTAAAATTGATTACTTCACCTATTGTTATATTATAATTAAATCGTATATAAATGGGAAGAAAAAGCATATCAAAGAGCTGAAATACTCACTAGACATAAGCCATTCGTGTACGCATACCCATATTGTTAATAAATTGTTTTGTACTTGCCGAAATAGTCCACAGTATTTTTTTATGATGTTGACAAATTTTTTTTCTACTGTAGAATAAAAAGTACAAAAACATTAAAATTATAAATACTAATTATTCACATTCGTAGTTGCACTCGTTCGTAACTCATAGTTCTTAACAATGTTGAATAAAATACTATTTAGGTAAACTTTTGAATTAAATTCATAGACAAAAATACGGGTCGTTCTATTTTTAAATTATTAAAGCCAGTTTTTTTTTGAAAGGAGGTTTAGATTTATATTAAAATTACCAAATTGTGAAAATTATAGTTATTAGTTTTTATCGAAGACGCCTGGAAAATTTTGAATACGGTTCTCAGTGATGGGATTTTATAATAATATTATTATTTTTTAACAGGCGATGTTCACCAGGGATTGCTGTATATAATGAAACTACGAAATGACCTCGAGTTTCAGGTTATATGCTTCGCTCTTACAAGTAGTTACTATATTTTTAGATGGTTACTAGGTTCTAATCTGCAGGATCTGCTGATGGAGGTGTGCGTTGTATTTCGCCTTGTAAGTGAGGTTAGGTTTTATCGTAGCGGCCCGGACGTTAAGGCGCCCGCTTCTCATACATTAGGACACCCTCATGTTCAAAACCTGGCAAGTATCAATGTGACTTTTTCCGAGTTACATGTACCTACTTTCGATGATTATTTAGACACCACTGACATACGGTGAAGGTAAACCTGGACTTATAATTTCTAATTATAAGTTTGAAATCGCCAACCCGCATTGAGCAAGCGTGGTGATTAATGCTGTAACCTTTTCTGTATGAGAAGAGGCTTTTGCTCAGCAGTGGACACTTATAGGCTGATGATGATGAAGTGAGGTTACCGGAGGCCCAATCTTCTCCTTCGTCTCCAATCCAATCCACAAAACTCCCCATGATTCCTGAAACACACGTGTATCTTCTCTGATGTTGCAGGTGTCCATGAACGGTGCCGATTGCCCATGTATTACCTGATGGTAAGCAGACCGTTCGCAAGCGTATCACATTAAAAAAAATGAAGTTATATTGCCTACAAGTTCATTGCCGGGCTTTGTTTGCTTGTTAGGGATTTCAGAATAGGAGATTTTGGTATTGAGGTTGGGGGAATAGGATTGAGTCTCCGAAAACTGGAAATTAATTATAGTTTGTAAGATGTAGACATTGAATAATATCTTTTAGGTAATTGTAGGGAAAGAAAGAGCAATACAGGCTAAAGGTATATTTAATTTATTTATTAATTGTGTTAATATGCATACAAATAATTTCCGTGAAGTTTTTAATCAGGAGCTATTTTTTTATTTATTTTTTTATTAAAACTACATGCGATGTAATTTTATGTAGTATAATTTATTATAAACAATAGTACATTACGATACAAGAGAGTAACGTATTTTTCAACATAATTCTTAAAAAAATAACTTCAAAAGAGATAAAAAAAATATTATTAAAAAAACAAAATACCCGACTGCACACTAAAAAAAGAGTAAAACAAGCCCCACAATACAAATTTACTGAATATAATTTATAAATGTTGATGGAAAGCATCGCAGGCGGGGACCAACAGAGGCTTATTTATAGTCATTTCTGTTGTGCACCATTTAGCAAAATTTTCGTTGGTGGCGGTCAAGGTGGTCCCCGCCTGCGATGCTTTCCATCAACATTTATAAATTATAATCAGTAAATTTGTATTGTGGGGCTTGTTTTACTCTTTTTTTAGTGTGCAGTCGGGTATTTTGTTTTTTTAATAATAATTTTTTTATTTATAACTTTTTAGCTGTTTTTATTTAACGAAAATGTTGTAGATGTAGAAGACTATGTATATGTAAGTACCATTTTAAATTATTTCGACGACATTTGGCTTTAGATTACGAGTGATGTTAAATTTACCGCCAATCTCATGTTCCCGTGGGAATTTTGAGAAAAAACGTATCCTATATTAATTACTCCCGTGATTGAAATGAATCTAATGATACCGCATACATATTTTTTTAAAGGGAAATTTAGAAAAAATATTATTATGTCTTTATCCCGTGGGACTTTTAGGATAAAATGTATCCTATGACACTCCCGTAATCAAGACAAATCTAACGATACCTCATACATCAAAATCCATCAAGCCGTTTAGGCTACAGGAGGTCACAAAGGAAAAGACATACATACATACTTACATACACTCGAAAAACATTACCCTCCTTCTTTGGCAGTCGGGTAAAAACGAGACGAGTTTGTGAACATTGTTTCGTAATGGCGGGAAAAAATTATCAGCTTTCCTCCTGTGCGAGCGCAACCAAATAAATAAAAAGAATATTTTATTTAATAAAAATGTGTGGCGGTGACCACCAAGGCAACCAAATTCTGGATCCGTAATGACTGAAACAAAACATATAAATAATATTTTTGCTTAAACATTCCTTCGATATTTATATATGATTAAATAAAAATAAAAATAAAACTCATAATCTAGAATATAGAGTTTTGCTTAAAGCTATACCAAGTTCATAATATTGCGTAATAATTGCAAACACAGTAGGCTCTCTCAGAGCATTTATTTCTATGTACCCAACCAATATATGCGCGGCATTGGCAGGCGACGGCATAAACTCTTATTCTATCTACCTGAGTGGCCCTAGCGCCAAGCAGATAACACTCCCACTGGCAAAGCTATCAGCCGGGGTTGCGGGGTAAGCGCAATGAGGCACCGCGACCTCGGCACAGAGCAGGAGAAGGAACAGGGGGGTTTTTAGTCAGTAAGAGTCTGACACTCCCTCCTGCCCGGCCCTGGGCGGGAGAAGTCATTTGATGATTTTCACTCACAAAAAAAAACTGGCAAAGCTATCAAGCTTATCAACTATTTCCTTCAGACGGATCCAGGTGCAGATACCTATATTTTTCGATTCACGAAGTGTTATGGATAATAATGTTCGATTATATTTAAATTGGAAATAATAATTAATAATAACTACTTTTAATAACACAGACAAACCCTTCGGTTTCTCCAAAGAGGTCACCGAATCGCAATAATATATGCTTATATGCTTTTAATAAAAATTTTAGTCTTCCCCATTTATTATTTGTAATAACTACATGTAATAATTATAACTAATAATTCTGTAATACCTTTGTAAAATTAATATTGTACTGTTTTTATAACCTGTATGTAATATTTATAATCTAAATGTAGCTTATGTTCTACTAAATAAATAAAAACATTTAGGGGTTTTGGGTTTCAAGAACCAAAAGTCAGAAGTAACCAAACATGGCCAGTGTCATATCAACATGGTCAAGCGCAATAAGGTACCGCGGCCTCGGCATGGAGCAGGAGAAAGAGGGAGTTTTTAGGCAGTAAGAGTCTGACACTCAGGGAGGGGATCACCAAATGAGCCCTATCGCCCCGGTTAAGGCATGAGGGAGGATTAGGCTATTATTAAAAACATTCCGTTCCAACTCCTGCCCTAAGCTGGTAACTTATTGAGCTTTGTTCGCAACAGATCGGTAGTGGGTTTGTATTTATGCAGTATGCCTCCATACTACAAAACATTAACCCTCCTTAATAAATAGATTTGCAAAGGTAATTAGCACTTAGGACTAGTTAGCGCTTCCAAAAAAAACTATTAGCCAAGGCTTAAATTATTATTAAATAAATAATTTAAACCTTGGGTACGATTAAGTGTGTCAATGACCTGCTAGATATCATTATAGCATAATTTATGAAAATTCTTTGAAGTATTAAACCTTTCCTTTCGAGACTAAAATTTATCATGTCAGTCCCTTTTTGTCAAGACCAACAAACAGGAAAAGTAAAGATGTACACATATATAAACATAATTAGATCCTTACTTATATGCATGTCCACGATTGAGTTTCTTCGTAGAGCCATGTCTAGCGTTGAAACTTTTTCTTTTGAATTTTGAGCTAGATATTACTCCCGAGCCAATGCTCCCCCCAAAAGATAGTGCGATTCCAATGTTGTTGTCTCCCAGTACTATGAAACGACGGTCACGATCTGAAACCAATTGTGTATAAAGTAAATAATTTTATTTTAATACTAGAATAGATTAAAACTAGTAGTCCAATAATAATGGACAATAATAATGTCCCATTTCACTAATATTATAGTTGTTCAAAGGGCCTCTGCGAGTCTGATTCGGCCCCTCGTACACCTTCCAAAGGTCCGCGACACTGTGACACCCGTGAGTGGAAACGAAAATGAACTGAGAAAAGCTCCATTAATTGCAGACGATTCGGATGCGCAAAGTCATCGCGACAGGTACGCTACTCATGAATGAGTCCCGTTGTGATATGAAACTAGTCGAGCCCTTCTGAGTTAATTCTCATGAGTAAGTCCTTACTTTCCATAAAAAATATGATGAAACTTAAATATTTAGTTATTTCCAATCATTGTTTTTACAAAAAAATAAATGTATATTATACGTTTTACCTGGTTCGCAATAACTGTAGCCACAAAGAAAGAAGATGGCGATAAAAGTAGGCGAATAAGCAATGGACAAAGACCCCATTTCTAACTGAGCACAGTTTTCAAGATACTTATAAAATGTTTGAACCACACTCAAAGGAACAGCTTTTATAAGGTATCCCTATAGATTTC